GCCTGAAGTCAAATCCCTTGAAGGACTCTCCTACCAAAAAATCATTGCCGCTCTGTTGGGTAGGTGAGGTGGATGATTAAGCTACAAGGAAGCCGCAGACTGAAAGCAGCTGGGAAATGGAAATTTTAAAGGTAAACTGATCAGCATGCCTAGAAAATCCATATAAGATAGAAATGGGGGAAAGAAGATTTAGAAATAAAATTTCCCACGGTTGTTCCATGTCAGAGTATTGTCATCAGATTTGGTGAATCCTATGAGAGGAAATAATAAACATCTTTCTGGGTTTTAAAAAAGGCAATATTTCACAGAAATTTAAATGAGTATTGGGACAGTAAAGTGTTTTGACTGGAGGAGTTTTTTCCAAGATTATTTTTGGTTTATTTTCTTTTTAAGTAGAACTTAAAGTAAATAAATCTTAAGTGTACATATGTATACAACTGTGTAACCACTTGGATCAAGATTTAGAACTTTTCTAGCTCTCTAGAAGGCTCATTCTTACCCCCTCCCAGTCAGTACCCCCCAGACGTGGCCAGTGTTCTGAGCTTTGTCGTCACAGGTTCATTTTGCTGTCTGTAACGTCGTGTGAATGGAATCATATGGGACGTGCTCTTCTGCCTGGTGTCTTTGCTCAGCTCTCTGTGAGATCCATAGATGTTGCGTATGCGGCAGGGCGTCATTCTTTTTCCTCACTGTGTGGCTATTAATTTATTTTCATAAAATTCATAAAGAAGAGAGAAATACTGTTAGAAGGGGAGAGGGAAATGAATGTGTTGCAGAGTCAGAAGCCGTTCGTATTCACTTTTAAAACACGCCTGCTTCTCTGTCTAAACATAAGTGATAAGTTCAAGTTGTCACGATTTGGGCTTCCATATATTAAGAAGAATTCAAACAAGGTTTAGTATGCTGTCCATTACGATAGCTACCAGCCACATGTGGCTACCTACATTAAAATTTAAATGATTAAAATAAATTACAATTAAAAATTCAGTTCCTCAGTTGCACTAGCCACTCTTTAAATGCTCAAATAGCCACATGGAGCTACTGGCTACCCTACTGAATGGTGCAGATATAACGTAGCCATTATTGCAGAAAGTTCTATTGGACAACGCTGTTTAGAAAGCCACCTATTAGGTCTCTTTTTCTTCCTCTTCCCCTTTTCCAGACATGGATGTTATGGTGGGTTTTATCTATTTTTCATTGTAAGTTATCATTTAATTCTGTGGTTCTCCGATCATCTTCTTACAAGCTTCTGTTTCTTGCATTATCCCTCCACCCTGGGGAAAAAAATACGTGGGAGAATTCTCACAATATGCTGAACTTTTAATTTCTAGAATGTTCCATGTGCTGTCCCTCTTTGGGGCCTTGGCAATACTGCTTGGAGCCCTCCTTCCAGCTTCCCACTGTTTGTTGGCTTCTCATCCATCAGATCTCAACCTAGATTGTCTCCAGGGAAGCTTCCCCATCCCTCCTCCCAGCCCGCAAGCCTGGCTTACGTGTCCCCTTGATTAAGCTACCACAGGAACCTGGCTTTCCCCAGCCTGGCGCTAGTTGCTTGTCTCCTGGCTTCTCTCTCCCACTGGACAACAAGCCCGGTAAGGCCAGGGACCAGTCTTGCGTGTTCACTGTTGTATATCCATCCCTTGGTACAGTGCCTGGCACTTAGGAAATGTCAATAAATATCGTGGAAGGAAGGAGCAGTGGGCTGCACAAGGAAGGGGCAATAACCAAGTAGCTTAATGTGAGGGTGGGGTTCCTCTCCCCTGCGTGAGGAGACTGTTCCAGAAGGGGGTTTATCAGAGACAGCTTTCTACCCGGCCACCTTTCAGAACCACATCAGTGCTCTGAGCTGTTTCTTCAGTAGTGATAATGCCACATCCAAGACATTTGCACCCTTTCTGATTAAAGCTGATGGTTTTCATTTCCCTGGAAGTAGTACTAAAAGACATATCCAAACTGAGACATTGATGGGTGAGTGATTGAAGGGAGAGCAGAGTTGGAGAATGATGATAATATGACAGAAAATTCTGCTGCATCTATCAGCTGGCAGCTGTTCTTGGCGTCACAGGCCAAGTCTCACCAAGCCAAGTGACCTCACAGGGAGGCAGCTGTAAAGGAAGGTGTTCTATCAGGACAAGTAACAGAAATCCCAGCTCAAACTAGCTTTAAAAATAACGAGATTTGTTTTCCCAAGTAACAGGATATTTAGAGATAGGAGGCTCAGAGTTGTCGATTTGGTGTCTAAACAATGTCTGTGAGAACCCTGCTCTCAGCTCAGTCCTCCTGGGCGTTGGCCTCATCCATAGGCTGGTAGGGAAATGGCAGCTGCAGGTATGGATATCCCATCTGGGACCTCAGTGTCCATATAAAGAAGAGAAACGCCAGCTCCAGCCACTGGTGAGGGAAAGAGGTTGCGAGAATTGTGTTAAATGAAACATCTAGATATTAAGTGTCCACTACAAGTGCCAAGACCTCCCAGCCCCAAAGATCACCTCCCAACCCCAGGCTATGAATTTTAAAAGTTCTTTCAGCCTGCACCAATAAAGAAAATACTGAATGAAAACCCTTTACTCTGTTAGCTAATATCAGTTAATGCCTTAGAAATGATCAACACTACGGGGACACATACAGAACGGGGAAAGCTTCTGGGGTGGAGAGAGAGAGCCTAGGAGAAGAGCTAGGAGGGCTCACCAAAGACCGGCTCTGATACTTACCAGTCTTGCTCGAGTCTACTGAGCCCAGCCATCAGGAAACTCCCTCCTTGCCCCTAAGGGTTAATCTCCACCACTCCTACCCCAGCTGAAGAAACACTGGTTTAATTTAAATTTAGCAATATCCATACATTTATGATTTACAATGTAGATGGTATATATTCTGAGAAATCTGGAATCCTTCAACCGATCAGTTATGCTTTAATTTTTTTCTCCTTCTATATAGCCCTCGCGCTGTTAGAGCTGTGCTGAATGAGGTCACAATCTAACTACAGTATTAACCCTGCAAATCTGTTCATTTTCGCCTGAGCACCCTCAGGCAAGATATAGAACGTGTCCAATTGAAAAACTATTACAGACACCGCGGTACTGTGATGGGCTGAATTGTAACAGGGAGGAGGATGTGGGGAGGGGCTGTGTGCCTTTAGCCGGGAAATCATTTTCTAAAAGGAAGTCAGGTAGTATGTATCTCTTAAAAGTAGAGATTATATGATTGCATTTTTAAAGGAAAAATGTGTCTTTGGTCATCCGAATTTTAAAATGCTACTTTTATTATTTCCAAATCTTAAGTTTTTTTTTTATATTTCCTACCAATTGTATCTTGGTTTTTAAATTTTTTCCCCTATTCAATATCTCTTTACTTTCTTTTCTCTGTTGTGTTGCAAACATCCTTTTGTGTTTTTTTAATATCTATTTTGCATTATTAAAAATACAGAGTAACATATAAAGAATAATAGAGTGAACACCCATGAACCCACCACCCAATTTAAGAAATAAAACGTTAACTCTTTTTCTGTGAGTGTTTCTGGGCTCTGTTTAATCTAGCACGGAAAAAAGCACAAACACAGATGGTCAGCATTTTGTATAAAGGCCCAATCAGCAGCCCATTCACAGTAGATGCGGAGTTTCAGAAAGCGTGTGCGTTCACGGTCTTGCCTGGACATGTGGTTAATGCTAAGTAGTCTAACATTGTGCCCCAGGTAACTGCTAAAGCTGTTTCAGATCATAAAATCTATGATGTTTTGCAAATTTATATTTTATCATGCTGGGTTTTATGCACAAAAACTAGATGACTTCCCTTTTTTAATCTCCTTCAAAGGAACTTTTCAAAATCCCTTTATTATGCCTTATCACTGGCTTTGCCACACATTGTTTGCATGTTTGAAAACAATCTCTGGCTAAATTATAAATCTGAGAGTATACTAGTGGTGTTTGTCTTGCAGAATTCAGACATACGTAAATGCTGTTTTCGCTTATTCCTCAATTGTGGACTCTAAATATTTGACCGCTTCATTGAGTGCCAGAGACCTGACTTTACGTGTCCGTCGTTTGAGCTCTAATTTAGAAGCAATCAACCATGTTTGCAGAGCGTTTGAAATATTTATATTGTATCCATGGAAAGGATGTAATATTTTATTTTCTCAAGAGGACAGTTTCTTCAACGTGATCTTGCTGCCGCCGTGTGATCTCCTCCTCCTGCTCTGTTCGCTCCCATTGCACCTTTGCCCTTGGGACTGCCCACTGCTCCATGGACATCTGCCTCCGCGCCCCCTTGGGTACTCGATCTCTTCAAGAAGTCCAGCATGCACAAGAGCAGCTTGCTCCTGGCTCACAAGCACATACTTATCCCTGGAGGGTATACTCTCTTCAAAGCGTCCCCAGACCAGAGTCTTATAGGGAGAGAAACAGAGAACCAAATGCATAGAGTATGGATAGATTTTTTTTTTTAATCTGTTAACTGATAAACTTGTGCCTATTTACAAGGTTGCTTTGAGTATGTGAGCTGATGGCTAGAGCAGTCATGCCCTCTTTTTCCTGATTTGAAAAGTAGAAATCGAAGAAAACATTTTGCAGAACACAAGTGCTAAAGGTCTGTATGATTCCAAGTGCATAGCAATAAGGAAATTTTCAAAGAGAAGGATAAAACATATGTATTTTATTTAGATGTGTATTGTTTTAAGTGTTGATTATCTCGTCATTTGGAATAAATAGTACTTCTTCACATGCCATTTACCAGTTGTAAAATCCGAGAATTCATTAGTAAAATAAGCTGTCATAGTGCTCAGGATGATTTGAAATGAACATTAGTTCAGCTCCCTGATTCTGAGCATGGGAAGTTTCCCTTTTCTCTGTTATAGAATTTGTTTTTCTAATATTCCTTATAACAAAAACAAGAGCTTCCTGATTTTCCAGATTTTATTGCCGGATGAATATCAGCACTAGTCACTCGCTTATTCTTTATGATGTGTGTTTCCTTTCTCTCCATGTCTAAACTTGCTTATCTCTCTGTAGGACAGTCGGCCCAATATGTCAAGACCTCTGATCACTAGATCTCCTGCATCTCCACTGAACAACCAAGGCATTCCTACTCCAGCCCAGCTCACAAAATCCAATGCGCCCGTCCACATTGACGTGGGCGGCCACATGTACACCAGCAGCCTGGCCACCCTCACCAAATACCCTGAATCAAGGTAATCCGAACAGCGGAAAAGTCAACTCAGAAGTGCATGTCTTTGATGGTCTAACTGTTTTTCCTCTGACCAGCATAGCAGCATGGCCTTGCCAGGGCCGGGGTTAGGACACGAAGGTGCCATGCAGGCCATCCCACTACCAAGGCTGTCTTGGATGTGGCTGTAAATCTTCTACGAGTCAGGGTGGACCCACAGCTTCGTCAAGTATGAACATGTAAAAATGTCATGTGAGAATGGAGTTCTGTGATGTTTCATTCTACAAAGATCTTCACAGTTTTCAACGTAGTTCAAACAGGACCATGATTTCTCCGCCTGACCTTTCTTCTGTCCTCTTCTTCTAAAACACACTTTCTTATTAGTTCTTGTAATTTTATAGGAGATCACTTGGCCCACTAACTTGTGAACTAGAGAGAAAAAAAAAAAGAGAGAGAGACTGTTATCAGTGAGGCAGTATATTTAGAACAGTATGCAAAAGTCCAGGAAGCCAAGATAGTCTTGTTTAAAAAAAAATGAAGGGCGCTGGAACTTATGAAAGCTCAATGCAGATAAGTAAATATAGAAAGTGTATGAAGAGGGAGAGTGGTTTACAAATAGGCAATATACATTTATGCTTATGAGATACCCCTCCCAGGCCCCCACCCACCTATTTCTAAAGGAGTTCCAAGGAAACAATTTACTTTGCATTCTTGGACAACCCTGCTGGCTCTGCCTAGATCTGGGGGCTATGCCCAGATCCTCTAAAGGAATTTATCTTCACCAGCTCTGCTGGTGGATAGAGGAGGAGGCATGAGATCCCGTGGGCTAACATCAGGAAAAGGGATGTTTTTCTGCATGTTTTTCTCATATGAAATGGAAACACACCACTTGGGCTTCCGAAGGGCACCAACTACATTTTTAAGAACTCCTTACAAAGTGACAGCTCTCAGGTAGCTTATAGCCTAAGTAGATAGCACTGACATAAAAATCACTGTCATCTTGATAACTGATAAGCACGAAGACTGGTTTTTTGTTTTGTTTTTTTATCTCACTCCACTACCTGATATTTTATGAAAGAATGTGAAGGTTGAGAAGAAGACAGATGAAATATTTTCCCTCTCCATTTCCAGATTTAATTTCTACAATCAAAATGAAATCATTTTTTAAAAAATAGATGTCCATTAATTCAATTATCCAAAAAAACTATATTTTTAAATGAAATGATCATATCAGTTATGAGGATTATTGAGCCCCCACCTTCCCTAAGTGCATTGTAGTAGGTGCTACAAAATCATGTTACATGATGGGTATATTTCCCAAGAATATCATTATATAAGTAGTGTTCTTTTAAAAAAATACTTCTTTCCATTCCTTCTAACCTTCCACTAAGACCAACATCAACAGCAGAAAATCACTGTGCCTCGTCACATGAACACTTAATTCTAGGGGGCAAGTCACGAAACATACATAAGAGTCAAAAAACAAATCCTCACCTGTAGCAAAATTCACTGGTCTGGTCTAATGACCTTGTGCTTCAGTCTGATTTTTAAACTCTGATACAGAGGGAAGTTCATAATTTGCATATGACGTAAGCAGTGGGTTTTCTTCTAGTGCTCATCGCAGCTGGATGGGTCTCTGCCCACTGTCTAAGGCTCCATAGGGGTTTTGGCCTTCGTGAAATTCCCAGGTGTCACTTGGCCTATTGGCAATGGTAGACAATAGAAGGTGAGAGGCTCTATTGATTCAATTCCTCTCTCTCAAATAATTTGCCAATTTCATCATTTTGGTGCTTCATGTTATTAAAGACCTCGAATAGTGTCTCGTTTGGAGAGTCTTCCTCTGGCCACCTTCTGAGAGTCTCCTTTTGTCCCTCGTTATCCACACCCTGAGCCGTGCATCACCTCCACGGATCTTGGTACCTCAATGTTTGCACTCTCTCATATGGCAGCCACTGGCCATGTGCAGCTATTGAGCACTTGAAGTGTGGCCCGTCAGAACTGAAATGTCCTTAAGTGTGAAATATGCACTGGATTTTAAAGACTTAGTACAGAAAAAAAAAAACAACGGGGGGCCAGCCTCGTGGCGTAGTGGTCGAGTACGTGTGCTCCGCTGCTGGCGGCCCGGGTTCGGATCCCGGACGCGCACCAACACACCACTTGTCAGGCCATGCTGTGGCCGCGTCCCATATAAAGTGGAGGAAGATAAGCACGGATGTTAGCCCAGGGCCAGGCTTCCTCGGCAAAAAGAGGAGGATTGGCATGGACGTTAGCTCAGGGCTGATCTTCCTCACAAAAAAAAAAAGGAAAATATCTCGATAATTTCTTATATTGATTTCATGTTGGAATGATGATATATTGAGTTAAATAAAATATATCATTAAAATTAATTTCACCTGTTTCTTCTTTTTTAATGTGGCTACTAGAAAGCACAAAATTATGTATGTGTCTCACTTTTTATTTCTGTCAGACAGTACTGAACTATACACAGATTTTTTTTTTTAATTGTCTTCTCTTTATTTTTATTTATTTATTTTTGTGAGGGAGATCAGCCCTGAGCTAACATCCGTGCTAATCCTCCTCTTTTTCCTGAGGAAAACTGGCTCTGAGCTAACATCTATTGCCAGTCCTCCTCCTTTTTTTCTTCCCCAAAGCCCCAGTAGATAGTTGTATGTCATAGGTGCACATCCTTCTAGTTGCTGTATGTGGGACACGGCCTCAGCATGGCCGGAGAAGCGGTGCGTGGGTGCACTCCCGGATCCAAACCCGGGCCGCCAGTAGCGGAGCACACGCACTTAACCACTAAGCCACCGGGCCGGCCCCACACAGATCATTTTTAAAACCATCTAATTAAATCTATCCCTCCCCCAACCTGATGCTTATACGCATCATACATTGAGTTTCTCTTTCACCAGGTTAATTAGAAAAGATAAAATTGTCATTTTCCTTTCCCGATCTTCCCTACGCTTCCTTGTCACCATTGGGCCACACTATCACAGGACCAACATCAAAAATAATTTGTGGTGCATTAGTCCCAGGTCTGAATGCTGAGGCTGCCATCTAATAGTTGTTTGGCGATGGATAGGTCCAATTTCGAAGCGCCTGTCTTCTCTCTTGTGAAATAGACACAAATATGTCTTCTTGCAAGGTTATTGGGAGGATTAAATGTGATTACGAAAAGCACACCATGGCCCTGTGCCCAACGCATAGTATTGCCTTTATACTTAATCTTCTGCCAAACCCAGCAATTGTTTCTTTTCAAACTGCCTTCCAAATTCCAAATATATCCCATTCCTTCGTTTCCTAGACCGTGGAAACAGCTTCGCTTCTGGATTCTTGCCTGGATTACTACAGGCTCAAGGGACTCCTCGCCTGCACCTTCTGATCCTTTATCTTAAATGCCCCCGCCTGTCGCAGAACTGCTGAGCCATGCCAAGATGATCTTTATCGTTAGGAGATATTTTTAAGCATATGTCAAGACTCTTTGAAACAAGCCTTACAAAGTAACTTTTGTTTCTGTTGCTTACACGTAAAGCAGATGACGCTGGGTTAGGTGTTGAATTGACCACTGTGTGTTGCTTTGCTTCCTCTTGGGTTTTTTGTTTTTGTGTGGGTGTTTTGTTTTTTGGTAAGTAATTAAAATGTTCATTTTAAAGCAACAATCGGTTTAAGGGGACCCATACGCAAATTTTAGTAGTCAAATATACAGGGAAGAAATGGTTCTTCATGCTTTTCCCATAGATGTCAGGTGTTCCTTCCAACTTCTGAGAAAATCTCTTGCATATCGTCAGCCCTTTGGGGATAAATCCTGGGACATTAGGTTGTCCATGACCATAGAATTACAAAAAACTTCAACTCGAGCTCTCTAGATGCTGGGTACTTTGAACCCTTCTCACCCTATGGGCCAATTCCCTCCCCCTCTCCCCACTTAGAGCACCCTGGTTTCGCTCTCACCAGCCTTTTCTTGGGTGTAGCCCAGAGGGGAGGAGGGCTCTTTCCTCGGTTTTGTTTCCTAGGATTTCAAGAGGAGACTTGTAGTGTAAAAGTACTAATTTGTTTGTAACAAGTGATCTTTAAAGATGTAACATCTTTCTACAATTTCAAAGGTCCTGCAAAGAGCCTTTACTCCATTTTGAAAGACTGTAGGTAATTTTTTATTCTCTATTTACTGCCCTCTTGGCTAAAAACCACCTTTAGAACATGGTCCCCAGAAAGTGGTACAGTGGACCACACGGCTAAGGTTTAGAAGCACCTGGGAAGCATTAAAAAGCCATGCGAGGCCCTGCCCCAGACCAATAAAATAGGAATCGCTGCGATTTTCCTAAGAGATCCTGATTTTCACCCTCTGGCTTTGAACAACACCAAGATGTATGGTCGCTCCAAGTGAATATTAGGCCTCTGCCTCTTCCTCAATGAATATTTCATGCTGTATCATAATGGCCATTCCACCAAAAGAAAATACCTTTTGATCTTCATTTCTTTAATTACCTGGTTCCACTGTGTGTGTATCCACGTCCTTTTTTTTTTTTTTTTGGCTTGTAAACCCTGAGTTGGATTCAACAAGCAAGTTGACTTTTGAATTTTACAACAAGGTTAATCGCTCACATTGTTATTCCCTTCCATCGTCAGGTGGTTTTTAGCTAACGGGACTGAAGGTTTCAAATAAACTGAAGTACCATACGTCAGTGATGTGCTCTGCCTTTACCAGTGTTTTGTGTGAGATGCAAAACAGCTCTTTGGAGGTGTTTATGAGACAGAGGCTGGTCCATGCCACCTCAGTGATAAACACGGTTCCCTTTCAGAGGAGCCTGCAAGTCTCCAATTTCTGGTTGCTGTTTTGAATTGTAATCACCAAGAAAAACACCCAGTTCAGATCTGCAGTAATTTCACATCAAATAAGTAAAACAAAAAAAGTCAAGAAAAATATATCACCATCATGAAAAACTTTAAATGGATATACAAAGAAGTTAGAACATGCTTAACAGTGTGTTAGCTTGGTTTATAAGTTGTAAATATCTAGACCTGTGG